TAAAGCATGTGTATTTTTTTTTTGTTTTGTTCGAAGATATTTCCTAAAGAATTCATATTATTTTAACGCCGATTAACCAAATGTCTAATTATCTGAACCATCTCTTTTCCTCCTTTATCTCTCCGACTGATGTCACAAATTCTCTCATGCATGATCAGTAGGAATAAATACAATAAGCTTACAATACTGTGCTCTTACCCTGTAATTTCATTCGTTAAATGTTAATCCACTTATCCGAATTCCCTACCGAACGAATCAATTCGGATAATCAAGTTCTACTGTATTAAAATATACGCCTATCGCGTGTAGATGTATAGAGCGCATATACCGTGAAACTTCAATTTAGCACCATCATTTGTTCGCCTTTGACAATGGGGTAAAATACACGTATAGTGTGGAGTATTTAAAAAAAATGACAATTAAATTTAATAACACCATATGTATTGTACACACGTTTTGAATTTGAAGGTTAATAGTTACGTGATTGAACATTAATAGAGGTTGCAGGTCATTGGAATCATGCTCGACGTTCCAAACGCCATTGTCAAACTTCTAGGCTTACAGGATGGCGGCGCTCAACGTTCGACGTTCACGTTTGAGATGAAAACTTCGGCCGCAACCTCTCTAATAATATCGCTTCAACGCAAATTCTATCAAAATGCGCTATTATTATGAGGGCCACAAAAATATTAAGCTCAAAAGGGGCAAAGGTCAAAAAATATCCAGAAATACTCAAGGACTTTAAACTACGTACAGTATATAGCCCTTATAGTCCTACGTATAGTATATAGTCCTTATTATAGTCCTACGTAGTATATAGTCCTTGAGAAATACTGATCTAGATAATAATGACCGCCGCTTGCGTATTCTCGTCGGGTTTTTCACTTTGCACAATTCACGATGGAGGGGTCATCGTAACTTATTTTCTACAATATAAGTAGGAAGTAGTTATTGTTTTTGTCGATTCTGTGCGTCTTTGAAATGAATCCTATCTTACAAAATCTTGCAAACTGTGAAATTAAGTTTTTTTTTTCAATTTTTGAATGCTAAGAAAATTAGACCTGTCGAAGTTTATTGTGAAGTAAAGCAGGTGATGAAAAAAATATGACTGGTGAAAAATGTTCAATAACGGACGAACAAGCTCTCATGACGAAGATGCACGTTTGTCGCCTATCATTCGTCAGTCTTAAAACGTCAAGCGAACGAAATCTTGGAAGAAAGACGCGTATTAAATACAGCTTTTCCTAAACATTTCTCGTTCTCCAACTGGTGAAATTGTATCGTCAACAAAAGTTGTTTACGATGAATATTGTGAAAACTGAACGACGAACACAAACAAGAAGAATGGACTCAACACTGAATTTTTGAAACTTTATCGCACAGAGATTCTTTTCTTGATCGTATTGTTACTGTAATGAGACCTGGATATCGCAATTCATTTAAAAAGTAAACGTCGGTCAATATAGTGGCATAATTTCATATCAACCAAAAAATCCACGAACATTCAGATTCTTTCTACGCGTAAAATAATGTCAGCGGTTCTTTGAGATCTTATAAATACTCTTGATAGACTTCTTGCATCATAGCTCTATGATTAAATAGACAGGTAGTAAATGAGTATAACAAAGATTTTAAAGTTAGTGGATAGATATAATAAATGTTTAAAGAAGCGATTATGTAGAGAAATACAGGGTGTTTTTTTAAACTGATGGTACTCAAAGACATCTGTAGAGCAATCTAACAGCCGGACTGTCGCCAAATTTGGGAGAGTGACCAAGGACGACATGAGAAAGATTCCGCGAAGAAAAAAAGCAGTACCTAAATTCGCCAGTAGGAGTGATTTGGCGCTGCTGTAGCGAAACAGCTAAGAATTTGCATAACGTACTGGTAACACCTCAAAATCCAAATTCACAATGACGTGGTCGACAGCAGCGCCACCTAATTTGAGCTTAAAAAGACAAGGACAAAAGTTCGAAGCGCATTCTAGACCAGCAGAGATTAACGTGCATCTTTCGTACCTCAGCATGCGTTGCTTGTGAAACTTTATTATCGTAACCAATCGAGCGCACCGGGCGCTCTTTGTGGGTTTAGAACCCGTAACAACCTGTCCAGAGGTCCTGTATCAATTAATGCTAAGGATCCTGTCTCTTCAAATTTCTTTATAAAGTCTTTACTTTATAAAGAAATTTGAAGAGAAAGGATCCTTAGCAGTTCGGCCTGGTAGAGGGCAAAAACTGGTATCTGCACAGACAGTTAGTGTTGTTGCGATTGTACCCGTTGAAGGTTCTAACCCCCGGATCTAACTCCATGTGACTTTTTCCTGTGGGATTACTTAAAGTCCAAGGTCTATCTTGGTGGTGTCCCCAACTTGATGACCTTGAAGGACATTTCTCGAACTGTGATGAACATTCCTGCGGACATGCTACATTTGGCCGTAGAAAACACGGTGTTCAGGATGCAATGTGTTGTCCAGCAGGACGGTGGTCACATTGAAAGAGGGAGGTTATTTGCTGATTAATTAAACTTTCATTATTGCACTGAAACCTCTGTCTGATTATTCATTCGTGTTTGTTAATTGCAACTGGGTTTTATGCAAATTCTTAGCTGTTTCGATACAACAGCGCCAAATCCACCCTTAATGGTGAATTCAGGTACTACTTTTTTTCTTCGCGGAATCTCTTTCCCATGTCGTCCTTAGTCACTCTCCCAAATTTGGCGACAGTCCGGCTGTTAGATTGCTCTACAGATGTCTCTGAGTACCATCAGTTAAAAAAAAACACCCTGTATTTAGAGAAAGGAAAACTTAATTTCTGGATATCTTCATATATATGAGTCATCCACGAAATGATCTTTTGGCTGTAAAAAATCTATAATACTAATTACGTCTCTGGCGTCAGTACAATTAAAAATATATTTGATAAAATGGCCGCGACATTAAGTACAGAGGAAAGATTTTAATGTTTTATATATTGAGGCAGTCCAGAAACCTGTAAAGGAAGGTAGACTCAGCAGTGAGACTTATTTCCTAAGATATGTAAATAGGACAAGATGAAGATACTTTTAATGTATTGTCTGGTTTGAAAATTTTTTGCAATTTTGCAAGGTTTTATTAGTGTTATTTAAATATGAACCCACTGAAATGAAAAAAAAACTATTTCCTGATATTTCACATTAATGAATTGTTCTTAACCAAATATATATATTAGTTCTGCGCTATTTTTGATATACTGTAATCAATAGTGTTAAACATGTATATGTTTTTTGTAATTTGCTAATAAACAAGCATAATATATTAATTAATTAATTAATTATAAAAATTATTTTTATAGAGGTTTTTTTTATTCTGAATGTACAAGTAAATATTTTTTTAAAAAAAAGAAGCTAACATTTTATAACAATAAAATGTTTACTTCTTTTTTTATATCTAAACTAATACTCCAAGGCCTTACATTTATTCTGATTGATTAAATTTTGTTGAATGTACTTACCGTACAGAATTTTTTTATTCTGTAAGGTATAGTTTCTATAGAAATAATTTTATAATTTTTAATAATAGTGTAACAAATGCAGACTGGTTAAAATGTTAGATCATAATAAATAATTACAATAAATTAATGTAATAAGTAATATTAATGCAAATACTGTAAATCTTTAATTCTTAAAAAGAAAGAATAAGATTTTTCATTTAATGAACTTTTTATTGATTCTTTTATTTTTAAATTTTCTCTTAAAAATATTAATAGCATTTAGGCAATTCAAAAATATGATATTTTTTAAAATATCAACTACAATTAATTTATAAATTTTAAATACAGTCTAAGCACATTTTTTACTAAAAAAAATAATTCTCTTTATTCTGTCCCAATGTGCTACAGATTAAAAAGCAAAAATACTGAAGTGCTTAAAACACCTGAAACAAGAATTACAATATATTCACACTAAGTCATTTATACAATATATGTATTCTATGTAATGAATATATATGTGTGTATATATATATACATGAGCACAAACATACAGTTATATACATAAAAGTATATATTTTTTTTATGCTTTACTCCATTATACAGCTCAAAATTGATTTTCAATCAATTGTCAACATCAAATATTTTATTTTAAAATAGTTAGTTATAAAATATTCTATCCTGACAATTTATATTGCAACATGTAGGTAATTATACCAGTCAAGATAACAATATATTTATATATACAAGTTTTAATTATATTATTGTAACAAAATTTAACAAAATAAATATAAAAATCATATGAATAAAAAAGTTATGAAGTTCATATTTGATTTTAGTTTTCATAGTTAAGAGTGAAAATAATTCAAAATATAACTTGCACATTGTTAAAATAAAAGAAAAAAAAAATGTACAATGTCTTTCTACCTTGAAAATTTACAAGATATATGAATAATATAAAAAGAAAAAAATGTGAAAACATTTAATAAGGAATGTACATATGTTTATATATTTCCAATTATTCAAATTAAAAATGAAATATTGTAGTTAAATATGGAAAGATCAGGTTAACATTGAATAATGATAAATCAAATAATCTTATTCTATGATTTCATTTAATGTTAATACTTTTTCACTAATGTTAACTGCAGGAATTCTTTAAAAATTATATTAAAAATTATTGAAACACGTTAGGATTTATTAGTTTTTCATGGAATTATTATTTAGAATTAGCTCTATAAAAAAAGTAAATAGTGAATGAAATCATATTACATTTCATTTACTAAACAGTGGGATTTTTAAACTCTTTTCAATACATTTTTGCAACAATTATTGTGAATTGGCCAGTTTTTTCTTGTTTTTTAAAGTCTTTTTACTTGTGGAAGTTGATTTTATGGACGGAGCAGTACAGGTACTTGTTTTCTTCATCCTTAAAGAATGAGATGCATGTTTACAAAATATGATGGACTGATGATTTTTAACTTTGTCTTTTGCAGCTTTTCTTTTCTGTGCTTTTTTCTTGCATTTTTGGCAGCAACACCACCGTCATCTGGGCAGAGTGGTCTTATTATGAGAAACTGGTAATTTTGGATTGCTAATCAAAATATATTATATATATATATTTATATTAGTAAAGTTAAAAGAATACTTACTTTTAAAAAATTTGTTAAAGAAAATGTAATTATAGCATTTAGTAAAGTTTAAGATGAAAAATAAATATACATCTATATTATAATAGATGTACTTACAGAAGAGGAGAATTATGAAGACATGATATTCCTTGCTGGATGCATGGACCAAGTCTAGTTTTAAGGACAGCATTATTAGTAGATGATGATGAAAGAGGCAAAAGAGTATAAGGTAAAGGTCGTAAATCATAAATAGAGTTCCTTGAATTAGTGATGGAATAATTAGTGGAAGGCCAGTTTGACGACGATTGGATGACCACAGCTTTTCGCATAGTTGAAGCTGGCATCATTAGTTGACGCCATGCTTTCCTATATTATAACAATTTTATACTGTGATGCATTCATAACTATTTGCATCACTTTATTTAAATAAAATTTTTAATTAAATTCATATCAAACTATGAAGGTGAATCAAAACAAAGTAAGATTGATTTTTTCCCATATAACAACTCAGGGCATAGTAACTGTGATCTTATTTCAAAATATTCATATGAAAATCAAAGAATTTATGCAATTATTTCTACTAATCCTTGAAGATATGTAGTAGAGAAGTTCTTTGTAGTAGTTTGAGAGGTTCTTCAAAATTGCCTTTGATGCTATGACTACTGTTGTATAGATAATAAATCAGTAACCAATAACTTTGAATTTAGTGTTGAAACATAGGAAAAACACAAGATGCCAAATCTGAATAATATAATGGATATAGGATGCATGAGGTATGAGTGACAATGGGTTTCTTGGTTGTACAGTAATTTTATTTGATTATTTTTACAATGAGTGAACAGAAGGCATGAGAATGGTCCTGTGATGATGTTAAAAAGCTAATAGAACTTTACAAATGTAACCTTTGCTCATAGTATTGCCAAAATGTAGATTATAAAGACAGAATAAAGAAAAACACTATATTTACTGAGTGCAAAAGTGTTTTCAATGACTAGAAGTAACTAGAAAAATGCACAACTGAAGGAGCAAATGGTAGAACAAAGAAAACATCAAAATGTAGAAAAGTGGCAGTGGGGTGGTCTCAATTATTCAGAATTGTTTTCTGAAACTAACTTTTTACATTTTAAGCAAATTTAACAGAGAAATAAAAATAATTATGCCTAAATATGCTTACTTAAAGCCAAAATTTGTAGCATTCTGATGAGTTTTTCCATTGTGTTACAGAATCTTGCAAATGAGAATCTTTCAGTTTAAAAATGGCCAATTTTTTTTTAGCAAAATCTCAAAATCTACTGCAGTCTCAAAATTGTCAGGAGTCTTCTATTTGCAGTTCTATAATTAAATTGTTGAAACAACCGAATTTTAGTCACTTCAAAATCCATTGTTGGACCTAAATGAATTTCTTTTTATTTGACAATAATGCTAATATTGCAGCTGTTACCTGTTCAAATTTATGTGGCATGATTTAATGTATAAAAACTGAAATTGTGATAGTTCTCATGACATCTACAACTATCTTGTGTATACAGCATGCAAGAACTCATGACAGTATTTTCTGACAGTCATTGCTGAAAATATAGCAATTTACTTGCTAGTGTAAACAATATTGCAAGACTTTAAGTTTTCTCACCTGTGTTTTGCAAAGTACTCTAGCAATCAAATAATGTCATATTTCCACATAAGTATTCACACTGATGCATTGATAATGGTTCTTTAGAGTAATAAAAATCTGAAATTTGTTAGTGACATACTTTTTACAGAAAAAGAAAACAGTCTCAATTTGTTTTGACTCATCTTAATATAATAAAAAATTATATAAATATTCTTTCAAACTATTTAATATATAACCTATAATTACATTTATCATGCACTATTTAATTAAAATATTACATACTTTTTACTTGTGGATGCTGTTTGTCTTGTTTGATGACGGCTTGTAGATCCTGAAGAAAGATTTTCTACAGAATTTTGATTAGCGCTTCTTACTGATTTAAGTGGTGACATGTAGGAGGATTGGGCAGGTGGAGTGGAAGGAAAATTCTTGTTAGACTGAGAATTGGATAGGTGGTGAAACTTCACATCATCCACACTAATTTTTGTATAAATTTTATATAATATTAATATCAGTTTAATATTATATAATATATCAAAATCAATTTAGTGTAAAAAGTTTTAATAAAATACTAACTCTAATGCTCCAGTTGTTACAGATCTTGTGTGATGACGTAATGCTTTAATTATATTTAATTTGTCTCCTTGTGTCAAGCTAGAATCCTGAGTTTCATTATTATTTTCCAAATCAGGACAAGATGTTTGTAAATTATTTTCCTTTATATTAAAAAATATTCAAACAAATTATAAGAAATAAAGTAACAAGAATAAATAATAATTATTATTATTTGTAGAACTCAAAGAAATAGAATATTTGTGCTTAACAAACTATTACATATTATACATATTAATCAGACAATAAAAATTAATATTTTAAAGTACAGTGGAACCTCGCTTAATGAGCATAATGCAAAACAATTTTTCCCATATAAATTAATGTAAAATATGATAATGCATTCCATGTTGAAAAAAATACTCAAATATTTTATGTATAACATCTATTCAAAGAAAATTATACAATGTACATTGTTAAGGAGTGTGAATCGTGAATCATCTCATCTTTTCTTCTAGAACGAAATGAATCAACCTGAAATGTGAATTTGATTTGCAGAAAACAAAAAAAAAAAAAAAAANCAAGAAAATTGAAAAAATATGTCTCAAACAGCCAAACAATATGCCAAATTCTTGGGCTATGTACAAGCTATAATTAAATATTAGAAATTAATTAATTTGACTAGAGGTAGACAGTTATGCTGCCATCTTGTATTAAATTTAATAATTATAAATAAATAATTTTTAATTTAGACATTTCTAAAATTTAATTTGGAATTGGCCATTAAATTTAATATGAGATGGCAGCATAACTGCCTATCTCCAGTCAAATTAATTCATTTCTAATATATAATTATAGCCTTTACATAGCCCATGAATTTGGCATATCGTTCGGCATGTGTTTATTTAACGGGCTATGGTTGTTGATGTTTATACGTAATATATCTGAACACAAGTTTGAAAAAAGTGATCACAAGCAACACTAAGATGCTAGTAGAATGAGTTCTAAACACAGACTGATAGAGCATGCGCAAAATCCAGGACTTCCCCTCTCCCTTGTCACTCATTATGTGAAACGTAGCTCGTTAAGCAAGACATTTTTTACAATTTGCTTTGCTCATTATGTGAGGTGCTTGTTAAACAAGGTTCCATTGTAATTTATAATGTTTTAAATTTAGTAGTTAAAAAAATATAATTAAGTATGTGTAAAATTATAGTGGAAACTTGTTATAACAATCTTCTGATTCCACTGAATATCATATAAACTGAACTCCATTTTCAAAAAAGTTTTGTCTTCAAATTTTATGATATCTGAAAGAAAATTTTGAGACAAGTTCTGTTCAATACAAATTTTCATCAATTTTTTATTTTATTTATTTATTTTTTTGAATTTTATTATGCTAATGTTATAATAGTAATGTGACCAGAAGTAATTTAAATAATTAAAGTTTAACAAACATTTTATTAACAAATATTATGTAGCTTTGGACATGATTTTTATTTTGAAAAATTATATACAGATTAGAAACAATCTGATATAATTTTCCAAAATAGAAATTATTAATAAAGTATATTCAATATCATAATTTTTTGAATACAACAAATTTCAATTTTCCTTTACTATACTTTCAAGTTTCCACTTTCCTAATTCTTTCTTATTCTGTATGTATCATATTTACTTGAATCTAAGATGCACCTTAATTTTTACATGCTCACCTACAGCTTTTTTTTTTTTTTTTTAAATAGACAACTTGAGACAAATTTATGTTAACAGAAATGTTCAGTATTTATTGCAAGCAAAGTAGGTTATACATAACTGTCTTCTATGATAATGAAATCAAAAACTCCTTCACTTGCCACATTAGGCTCTTCTGAATCAATACTAAAGTCGTTTTAGTTAGATTCTTGAGTTTTATATATGTGTAGTTTTAATAAACCAATACTATACTAATCAATTTGGATTTGATGTTCACATTTTCCCACATGCAATCATACTCAGTACAATTTAAACCAATGGAAACGCAACATTTCTTGAAAGAGTGCTGCACAAAGTTTTTCTGAAATTTTCATCAAAGTACTCACAACTTTACTGTAATAGACTAATGAGATTGAGTTAAGCGCTGACATCTTAAATATTTTCTATTACTAATAAAATCATTAAAATGATGCAATGGAATTAGTGATGAGAAATAAGACACAAGACACTAGAAATTGCTAGTTATGACATAATACATCAAATCTAATGTGTGTTAAACCTAAAAAAGTGTATCTCACATTCAAGTAACTACAGTATATATCAGACATGGGCAAATGTGGCTCTGAGAGCCACATGTGACTCTTTTTGAGTTACATATGGCTCTTGCTAAAAGTGTTAATTTCTGCTTTTTATTATTATTTTTACAATTTTAAAAATGCAAACACCTGCAATATCTAGAGGCCTACAAGGTGTTGCATTTTACTTGGCCAGCAGTATATAATAAAATCGCAGTACAGAATAAAAAAAGTATAGAACTTCGGCTCCCATGCATTTTGCAAAACCTACATTTCGGCTCCCACTGAACTCTTGCTTGCCCACCTCTGGTATATATGTAAATAAAATTTATATTTTTTGCTTACATCAGATTTAGAATGGCTTCTATTTTTCTTTATTTTTGATTCGTTCAAATGAATTTCATCTACTTTATTGGAAATCCAGTTTACACTTTTATGTTTATCTTCAACTTTCAAGGATGCTAATTTATTTGATTTATCATTTTGATGCTCAACTTTTGAAATATGATAAATGCTCTCATTATTATTTTTATGACTTTCTGTTTTATTGCATAGATCCCCTTGTGTCCACAAGCTTGATTGTTTACTAAAAACAAAATGTTTTGTTATAAATTTAAATAATAAATTTTAAAAAATTGAAAAATTTAACATTAAATTATTTTCAAAATTATAATTATAAAATTATTTAAAATACAATTAAAAATAATACATTTTTAATTACATGTATTGACAAAATGCTTAAAATATTTTACAAGTAACAAAGATATCACTCATTGTAATGAAAGCATAATAATGAAATATGATCACAAATATAGTAAAATCTCACTTATATGGCCATCTTTGAAGCAAAAAATTTCTGGCTATAAGTGAGGTGGCCACCTAGGTTAGGTTATGAAAAAATTGACATAAAACTATAATTAGAGTGCACTGAATCCTGCTAAAAGTTTAATACAGCATATAAAAGTAAACAAAAATAAAAATGTTAAGTATAAAAGTCTAAAACTGAAAAAAACTAAAACTGAAGATAAAGTACATTAAAACAGTTACCTTTTTATTCACTTTCATGATGAATATAGAGGTTGTGTTCTATTCTTCCATCCACACAGTACGCTATGGATGGAAGGATAAAGGATATGTTTGTTTCCATTCTGACTTTGAAAGGTATTTTAACCTTTTCTAATTGGATATTTCCTTTTTTCATGTTTTAAGGAAATTTTTAAATTTTCAATTACCAAGGCTAAAAAGGAAGATCAGATCATCATAAGACATATTTCACAACATGAAAGTGAATAAAAAGATGACTGCTTCGACACATTTTGCTTCAATTTTAGTTTTACTTAAAAATAAATAAATAAATAAAAACTTTACATAATATTGTACACTCTGTGCAATGTATAGTAATTCAAATTTTCATACAGTAATGAATTAATGCTGAATAATATATTATTGAAATACAAGATACTCTACATGTATAATGAATGCAAGCTGTTTGCAATAGGGTCCATTCAAGTATTGTACAGTAGTCGATCCCCCTATAAAACAAGTTCCTATACTTCAGATTCCTATATCACGGCAAAAAAATTGTGACAGTATTCGTACAAACGTGCTAAAAAAACTCATATAATTCGGTAAAACGTCATCACCGACTCATGCCATGACAGGATTGGTTGAATCTAGACCAATAGCAGATATTGTACAAACCGTTGAGTTTAAACGAGCAGCGGATCTACTAAAAACCATTTATTATTTAATGTCCATAAAAATTATATTTATATTAATGATGTCTCCAAAGTTCAGCAAAGTTTTCGCAAAAAAAAAAATAATTTATCAGGAAGCACACGAGTGCCATTCGACAACAAGCTCCACAACGAAAACAAGCTTAAGCAATGGCGTAGTCGAACGGTGCACACTCGGTAAGTAAGCCTACAATTTTTTGTTTATAGCATAGTTTATATGGATTATTTCCAAAAAATTATACGTATTTTGGAAATGTTGAGTCGAGTTATTCTAGAATCAATTAATATTATGGAAGAAACCTTTCAAACAGCCATAGTCCGTAAACTGCATACGTGCCAGGCTGTGATTGGCTGAACTTGTAGAAAATGGATTCATAAAAACCGGAACGTATCTATTGTGTTATAGGGGGGTCGACTGTACCGTTCTAGATAGAACTCTTTACTATCCAAAAACAGAATCAACATGTTTATGAAATGATAGTAAAAGTGTTTATGCTGTCATTAATTCTAACTTTTCTACATGAACAATTTGAAAATGGGGCATCATAGACAAAGCTGTAATCACAAAGCAAGGTTTTACTGAGGCGGATATTGATGAGTACTTCAATCCTACCTTCATTGTTGAATAGCATACTTCCTCCACTGCTGATATGCTGTTTGAGGAACCCATCATATATGACAATTGATTACACTTAGTAGTGATATCATATCAGTATTAATAGTAACAAATCCCTTTTTTTTGCTGTTATAATTTTAACTGAAACATTGGAGGGAAAATCTAATTATTAAAAGAAAATATTTAATTTAGCTCACAATGGATACATAGAAACAATGAAGTTTCAGTTTATAAAATACAAATGTACTTTATAATCTATAGCTGCATTTTAAAAGAAACCAATGGTACAATATAAAATGAGGGCTATTATGTATTTTCTCAGAAGAATTAAATAAAATTTAAAAAGAAGGTAGGTATTAATTGAGATATAACAAAGACCAACTAAAACAAATAAAAGGTATTTCCAGAGTCTCTTGGAAGTCATCTTTCACATCATAAATATTAAATTACTATAAACAACACTAAAAAATTCAGAAGTGCAAAAATATGCTTAATCCTGGTTATATCTGATTGAAATTTGGACTTCTGAAATGTATTAGAGTTGTTCATGGTATTCCCAGATAAAAAAACATTAATTATATAAAATACATCTAAGTAGCAATTTTTAGGATGACAGCTCTATTAATTAAAATTAGAAAATAATATGGTAATTAAAAACAAACAAAAATCTGCTATTTTAAAGCTATTCAAAAAGCTTTAATAATTGAAATTCTGTATTTACATAATAGAAAACAATTATAACTTCTAACTTTAACCTTTTTCCAAAATTTATATAAAAATTGTTTAATAAATTGCAAAACTGAAATTGAAGTTCGTATAATGATGAAAAAGTTTCTAAAATAAAGTATCCCTTACTCCAACAAACCCCTCTTTGTAGACTACTGTTGGAATCTACTGTTTAAGATACTACAATTCTCCCTGCAACTACATCTCTGCCAGATCTGCCAGTATATAAAAATCACAGTTTTTGAAAGTTTGCTGAAAAAGACCATTTTTAGTAAATGCCAAACTTTATAAACAGAACATTTTTAATTTTTTGCACAATTAAATATTAAAACATTAAATATTAAAACTTTAAAAATTTAAATTGTAAAATTAATTATAAATTTAAAGAAATATAAAAGAATAAAATCTTTAGATAACATAATTTTTAAACATTCTTTTCCATTTCTAAATTTTGTTAATTCCTGAAGATGGTCTAAATTTAGACCAAAAGCATTTCAACTGTAAAATACTATTTTTATTGGTAACCACAAAACAGATGTTTTTATTTATTGCATTATAGCATAAAATATGGTAATTTTTTAATCTTACAGTAGTTTTTTAGTCTTTTGAATCAAAAGAATAACTTTATGTTTAGATTTATGTGTCTAATTTTATACTATTAAAAATTTTTTAATTTTTGTAATTTACTAGATCTGTGTATTTAATATCAATTCACAATGCTCTCCATATCTGTGTAACAATTTATAATAATTTATTATATAAACAACATTAGTTTTAAATAAATATTGATTAAAGAACTGTAAATATAAATTTTGAAAAAATAATCAAATGGTAAGACAAAATAAAATATAATTTAAAATAATATGAAGAAAATTAATAGTACAGTATTATTCTATAAAAATAAGCAGATGGAGCTTAAGTTAATCAACAACTCAAAAGTCATAGTTTTTATGAAACAGAATCTGAGAAACTTTGACATTCATAAAGCCTAAAACATTTACTTTTTTTTTAGGATTTCAGATTTTTCTAGTAATGTAATTAACATCCACTTTTGATTCCTAAATCTTTTTTCTGTAAGAAGTTTGTTTCTACTAACATTTAACATCAGTGAGTAACTCAGTCAACTTACTAAAGATAATATTAGAGACAACCATGGAAAGAACCATGCTTTTTTGTAATTAAAAATTTTTAAGTTAGTATTAGTACATATAAGTTATCTTTTGCTACATCTAATTCAAGCACTCACATGTATTGAATGTATATGCAAAAATGTGCATACATATATAGATGTGAGAGTGAGAGAAAGAGAGAGCGTGTGTGGATGTGCGATCAGAAAAACAGTTGCTGGCCATATGAAAAGGCAATCCTTACACTCGTTGACCATGCATGCAGAGACATTCTTACACCTGCTGGACACAGAAGAGGCAGTCCTTACATTCACTCAGTTTTGATTGCTTTGTTCATTTTTGGTGTCCATTTTCTGTTAGGCAGGCTCAATCACATCAGGAAGCATGGATGCTGTCACTTTGACCTATTGTATCTCAAAAACAAAGTCATGGGCCCCCAGTTTTTATTACATTTTTGGATTACTCATCACAATTAATGGAAAATAGCAAAAGTTTTATCAAAATCAGCTCAACAAATTTTGAGAACAAACTTAATTCTAAAAACCAAATAAAAAGACTGCCAATACTCCATCTCAAAAATTCTTTCACTTTAACTTTAATAAAATAATTTAGCCCAGAACATAAATATGAATACTTAAGCAGATTAATAAACATTTAATAAACAAAAATAATAACATTTTATTTTGTATTTAGTCACTGATAAGTTTTGTCCTTAAATAAATTAAATTTATTTTTAAATGTTTGTATATAAATTTACTTTAAAATCTTAAATTTTAGAATGAAAAATTTTAAATTCATTGAAGATAAGGATATTAATTATGAAAATTTTGAGAACTAACAATACAACAACTAGGAAAATAATCATTTACATGTTTAATGTAAATAATAATTATATTTATAATAAATCATTTATAACTTTACCTCTCTAACCAATGTTGTTGCTGACCAATAATTGAACCTGGACGACAAATTCTAATCCATGCAATTGCTTCTGCTGCTGAGAAATGATAATGTTTCATAATATAGCAAGCTATTAATGTTCCAGTACGTCCAAGTCCAGCTGTAAAATATTCATAAAGTATGCTATTTTTATTCAAAAAATTAAAAATTATTATAATGCACAAAATTTTTATGATCTTTAAGATCTACACCATAAAAAAAAAACAAAAATATTATTATTATTTGACTCAAGCATGAAAAATGATTACCAAATGTAATAATATACAGCCAAACCGTAGGTTTTGAACACCTCACTTTCAAACAAAATTTTGAAATCATATTTGCCCTGGTTGCCATACAATAACTCAGTTTCAGAACAAGCTACTCAGCAAGAGCTGGCTACAGATGGTCAACTCCCCATACCTTCTATATTAAAGAAAGTTGATGGCCCAACCAATCAATGACATGCTGGGATCGCCCACATCATTAAATGTCACTTGAATCATCAATGTCATTGCTATTTAAATTAGATTTTGATGTGCATACAGAAAAGATACTATTCATATTTTTCAGTACACACCTCAGTTGAATCTAAATCAAATTAATTAACAAAAACCANAAGGCTATAAATTATTTTTTCTGCCTGTCTTCAAAATATATACATTTTTAAAATTTATATTGTTATTTCTTTTATTTTACAGGAATGTAGCCTTATGGAGTGGCAAGGGGCAGAATTTCTATGCTCTTCTATCCCCATTCTCTGTTGGTCCCACTGCTGCCCCACTAGAGTTTAAAAGTAAACAGCAAAAAAATGTCAAGCATTTCACCACTGGACAGAACAGAAAAACAGGCACCTCACTCAAATTCTAGACTAAATGAACAGATGTAAGATAAAAATAAAATTCAATACTGTACTTGTTTTTGTTCAGCCTTTTCTTTTTTTATTGAGCATTGTCATGAATGCCACTGGTTTGCATATGGCTTGAATATAACATGCAAGGAGATACCATATCAGTACAACAGCTCTTTACACAATAATATGTTGATAGTGATCATCTACTATTGCATTTCTACCTAGACTATGCACTTATGCTAAGTTTATGCAGCTATATATAGATAGAATAGATAATATTATATTGCATTTATAAGCATTTTTATGCATGAAATACAGCTAAAAAGGTTAAAAAAAATGGATTAATCCATTTTATATTGTTTCTTATGGAAAAATTTATTTCAGTTTTGGAACAACTTTTAGAAACAAATTAAGTTTGAAACATGAGGTTTGACTGTAATTCCAAATATTAAACACATTATATGTATCTATAACATGCTATCATGTATGACTCAAGCAGTTTCCAAATCAGACTTGTGAATTGGGCTTGTGAAAAAATGTAGAGATTTTCTGACACACACCCATACTCATCAGAGTGTAACAACAGATCTATAATTAGAATTTTGGAACAAATTTACATTTATGTCATTTCTAAGCATCTGCATGTTATTAACAACAAGAATGACATGCCTTTCTTGATTTCCTTGGTTAATTTAAGATAATCTATATTAATTTTTGTTATATATCAATATTGATTTTAAATTTTTAAATAAAATCAATATTGATATATATCATAATCTATTTTTGTTGTTTCATTAGTGATAGAAACCAAGTTAAAAAATTAACAGTTTTGATTTTAAAAATGTCATTATGAATTTAGAGTCTAAATTCATAATCATAAACATTTTTAAAATCAAAAGTAACACAGTCTAAATTTTAGACTGTGTTACTTTTGAACATCTATTGTCTGTATACTTAATGAAGAAAAAAAGCTAGAAAGCACTCAGTTCTTCTGTAAACATTCTTAGCAGTTTCTACTAAAGTAACTTATCTATTTAGAAACCTCATAAAATTTATGCAATGCAGTTAAAAAGATATATTGAAAAATATGCTGCATGAGCTTATTTCAAATAAGTAATTAAATTTTCTATCTCATAACTGTTTTGAAAATTTCCTTGTAATTATCAATTTGGATTAACTAATTTTTATTATGTACAGGGTTCCTATTTAAATTCCCTGACTTTCTCTGACCAACTTTGTACAAATAACCTGATCTTCAAATCTCTTACAGTATGGCATATTGACAAAATTAAAACAGCATTTGACCTACTATGTACACACACTATTGCTTCTCCAACTTTTTAATTAGTTATTTTTTCTAATTAACACTTATATTTTTTTAATAACTGCCAAATTATTAAAACTAAAAATAAAATGTTTTATTAAATTAAAGTACAGCTGTCCCTTGATAGTCCAATGTTTTGTAATCCGACATGCTCAGTAATATGACGCACCTCCTGTCAAGGTACTCGTCTCCGTTATGTGTCTTCTTGCACAGAAGCATGTCGCGACGTGAATCTCCCCACCCAATTCTTACACGATAACACACATTTCGTGTGTTTTCCATGAGCAGTTCTGTTTGAACAGTTGGAGTAGGGAATATTGTAGGCAAAACAATGCCAAATATGTAATCACTTTTGGTAATCCGACACCCCTTTGGCCCCACACCTGTCGGATTATCAAGGGACAGCTGTAGTTTATTCTGTTACTATTCCACAGCCATAAATTTACATGGCTTTGAAAAAATTGAAAAAGCCATTATTTATTATTAACTAACAAATCCTGTATAATCCAAGTAAAAATGTATATATTTACTAAATTTATCCCTTAATAAATTTCCTGAACTTTATAAAATATTAATAAACTGGAAAAAAATCAAAAATTGTTCTGTTATGCAATTAAAATTATTAAAATGAAAAATGATAAATAATAACATTTAATTAAAATTATCATTTTTTGTACTTTGTAAAGTTTTGGAAAAATTCTGTGTATGCGTGGGAGAAATTTTGGATCCTGAAAATGTTCTGTAACCCCTTTCCATAAGTTCTATTCCACCACATTACTTTTTGCTGCCTGCAATCATGGCTACACTTAATTAAGCATATTGTCAGCAAAAAATCAACAAGGCACCCAAAGAGGCAAATTCCCCAACTTTCAAGGTGTGTAGGAACCCTCTATGTACTAAAAATCAATAAAATTTTTAAAGACTTCTTAATATATCCTTCATGTTTATGACAAAAACATATTAACAAGGCTATAAATTATTTTTTCTGCCTGTCTTCAAAATATATACATTTTTAAAATTTATATTGTTATTTCTTTTATTTTACAGGAATGTAGCCTTATGGAGTGGCAAGGGGCAGAATTTCTATGCTCTTCTATCCCCATTCTCTGTTGGTCCCACTGCTGCCCCACTAGAGTTTAAAAGTAAACAGCAAAAAAATGTCAAGCATTTCACCACTGGACAGAACAGAAAAACAGGCACCTCACTCAAATTCTAGACTAAATGAACAGATGTAAGATAAAAATAAAATTCAATACTGTACTTGTTTTTGTTCAGCCTTTTCTTTTTTTATTGAGCATTGTCATGAATGCCACTGGTTTGCATATGGCTTGAATATAACATGCAAGGAGATACCATATCAGTACAACAGCTCTTTACACAATAATATGTTGATAGTGATCATCTACTATTGCATTTCTACCTAGACTATGCACTTATGCTAAGTTTATGCAGCCATTAGCAATGACATAACCCATAAACAGAAATTTCTGACTACATCTCTGATTTTATTTATAAATGATGTTTTTTCAGTTAAAAGATTTTATCAGGTTAGTTGCTTAATTTGTAAAGTAAAACTAATGTAACATAATTACCTTTACAATGAACTGCAACAACACCTTTTGCAGATTCTGCAATATCTAGGAATTGTCTCATGATGGAATCACTAGGAGTGCTGCCATCCACAAAAAAAAGATCTCTGTGATTAAAGCCATTGTCAGAAAATCGATGGGCATCATATATTTTTTTATTCAGACGAATAATAGTGGTAACATTGTGCGTTCGAAAATAGGGAAAATAAGTTTCAGGAGCATGAAATGGATAACCTAATATATTTTTATAATTTAATTAAAAATTTATTCATGTATTTAGATTTCCATTGATAATATCCAACTTAAAAATATATATAAATAATTAATATCTTACCATTTTCAATCTTACTTTTAGGATGAGGTCCACAAAATGCAATAAATTTGTTAGGTACAATCCAGTTTAAATCTCCATTTTCTACTCTCTAAAAAAATACATTAATAATTATAAAAAAATTTTAATTTTTAAAACAAAATTTATTTTATTGAAAATATAATTGAAATAAAAACAATGTATTTCAAATAATCATATCAAATTTTAATATTTAAAACTTTTAAATTACTGATAGTTCTTGGATTAATATTAATATATAAAAAAATATATAGTATTCCTTGTATAACGCAGTAGATAACATTCTGAAAAAGTGCCATGTTATGCAAATCCATGAGATATGAAACAAAGGACTAATGCAAAACATGGGATTACGTTCCAGAAGTTAGCAAAAGTATACTATTCTTTTTCGTTATTAAAAGAAATATGTTTATTAAAGCAATCAATAATTAACTAACAATTACAATTAAAAGTACTGATAATATTAATTTTAGTTAAACAAGGGCATTCTTTTTTCAAAGTATCGTCATCTTCTGAGCTTTTTTGTTAATTTTGATCAGAAATATCAGCAACATCTTCATTTTTTTATTTTTATTATAATTTTCTATGAATGACAAAATAAATGTATGTTATTAATCGATAATTTGTTCTAGTGGGTCACATTTATTCAGTTGAGTACTGAGCAATTTTTTCCAGAATTTGTGTGCAAATACCGAATTGTTCGATTTGGGAACAGTTTGAGTACTGAGATAACACTGTATTTCATTTGTCAGTTTTACAAATAATTACTTACCTATGATTTTAAAAAAGATTAACAACACATACTTAAAAATGTTTAAATAAACTTTACTAAATACAAAGATTAATCTATAAAAACAAAACACAGTGACTAAAGGCTAAAATCTGAAAGCAACAATGACACCTGGTTGATAGGAAAGCTAGGACAAGGAAGAAAAAATTGTATTGGTACTATTTTCAATTTGTTTTGTGCCTTTCATCAGGAAAGACACAAAACAAATTGAAAATGTCAATATTTTAAAATCCAAGGGCAAATTTGAGACAACATATGTGCTTGCTTGAATTTTAAAAAATATTGAATAATGAAGTTTATACTTAAAAATTGTGAAATTTTGTATGGAGGATTTCCAAAACTGTGCTAGAGCAAAACTGTGTTGTAGAAATACTATGTTGTACAAGAGTTACTTATCTGTAATGATTCCATGCAATTTTGTAATTATTAATATTTTAAAAATATTCTACATAGTAAATTCACCTTTTCAAATTTTTATATGGATTGTAAAACTACAGTAAAAAAAAACCTAAATATGAACTTGAGATGGTAAAACACTTTTAGTTGTATTTTGTTTTGAAGGTAAAAAATTTGCTTTGTTTTGAAGGTAAAAAATGGATTAATCCATTTTATATTGTTTTTTATGGGAAAATTTGTTTAGGTTTTAAAACCTACTCGATTTTTTAATAACTTTTAGAAATTAATTATGTTTGATAATTGAGGTTTGACTATACTGCAAGCTGTAATAATTATTTTAAACATATACTTTGAAATAAAATAAATGAAAAAAATTTCTTTAAAATATGTTTTTATTTTCTTATCATATATTTTTAATCTACTATTCTTATTTTTCCTTTCCTTACTTGCAATTCTCATATTTGAAACAATTTTGTGGAATATAACTCTCATGAATACAGAGCTTTTGTATAAGATCTAACTTGTTATAGATCTTAACTTGATAGACTTGAAGATCTAAAGTATGATCTAAATTTCTTAACAAAATAAAGTTTAGACAATGTTTTGATTAATGATGAACCAACAATTAAGCAAATATATTCTAGAACACTTTCAAACTAAATTAATTATATTTTATTAAGATAGCAAACATTTGATACACAGGATATTATTCTGACTAAAATATAATTTAAGGCTTGATGTTTTCATACATATTGGTAACATATAAAAATTAATTTTATATTTTGTCAATACTTTTCAATACAGGAATATTTACCAAAACTTATATGCAAGAAAGCATTCAAACAAAAAAATCATAAAGCAAGTTATTCAAAGCTTTTAATAAATTTTGAATAAATCACAAAATAATTATATTTTATAAAAATCTTAATTTCTTAAAATTATATCAATACTAAATTAAGCTTTTAATAATTATTATTTCTGTATTAAAGAATTATACTTACTTCATAATATTCATATTCATCTACATCAAATGTTTCAAAATTAATGAAACCATTTTCCAAAGCCTAGAAGAGAATCCAAATAGTCATAATAATATTTTAAGTAATGATAAATATACAAAGGTTAATTAAACATTTATAACATGGACACATTATAATATAAAAAGTAAACATCATGTAATCAATAGGATGAGTAAATAGTAATAGTATAATATAAAAAGTAAACATTATGTTCTAAATTCTTGAAATATTTTTATTAATTTTAATAATATCAACTATATAAATATGAAAAAATATAATATCTGTATTAAAGATCTTCACATTCTGAAATATGATAATTTAATTAATGTAATGTTTAATATTACTTAATGAAGATAAAATGAAACTACTATAGAAATCTTCGTATAGCATCATTCATATTTTGTGTGTATAGCTGCAACAAAATTATCTAAAAATGCTTACTTGTCATTACATTTAGAAGTATAATACTTTTTTGTTCAGAAATTATTTCAGTATCAGAAAATAAGATGAAATTTTATGAATTTTTAGTAAAGTCAAACATAATAGTAACATCTACACTTATATAAATATTTGAAACTCCACTCTATGACACAAGTTAGACTGCCTTTAGTAGACTAATCTGTGTTTCATGTAATTTCATAATACTCCATATATTTTTTGTAATTTGTAATATTTTTTGAAAAATGTAAATACAGTAGAGTATGATGTTTTTCAGAATAATTGTACACAATTATTTGTTTATGAAAAGAAAATTTTATTTTTCCAATAGAAACAGAAATGTATGCCATTTAATAATAATAATAAAAAAAAGAGTAAAAAAGAGCCCATTAGGTTAAAAATAAGAAAAATTGTCCAAATGGCATCTGTCTTTATCAATGCATTCTTGTAGCTTTGTGGAGAAGTTGACCATAATACTTAACTGTCAGATGGCATTAAAATCTTCTTTTATAATGTAACCTTCAACAGTATAAAATCATCACCACCAGGCTAATAAATGTAGAATGGAACATCACTATGTGCAGTAGGCCTATAATATTTTCAAATTTCAAATATTCCAAGCATTTAAATTTCACAATGGGATTAGAGGCTCACAAGTATACAAAAGAAAGAGTTTGAACTAAAATGCAAACAAAAGCAAAAAGTGCGATGGAACTCTCAGTTTTTATGACACGAGTTTGTGATGCATTACAACATGGAATGACTAGGGTAGTATAGCATTGTGATTAAGAAATTTAAAAAGTGTAATCCACAAGTTAGGAAGCTAAAATTTGGCTGTATTGCACAAGCACAAGGTGGAAGTGAGGAGGGCTTCCCAAATAAATAATGTCCTACAATCGGCAAAGCCAGAGGAGAATGACTTGAGTCCACAAAGGGCTGAAATTTGATTCCATGACTTTTCTGATCAGGTCTGTGGCACATCTACATTTTGCAATATCCTGCTGGTGCTCTTCTAAACAACTCACCAGTATTCTGGTTATGGCACCAATGTACCATATATTTTCTCCAGTTAGTGGGTGGAAAATGGGTTTAGCATAAACTCCAGATTTTTCAAGAAATTGACCATTGCCCACTGAACCATGTTTTGATCCATGTTGAAATTACAAAGGAAAATTGCTTGATTTCCTTTGTAATTTCATCTTTGAAGGCTTTAATATTCCATGGCTTGTCAAGATACACATTAGCTTTTAAGTAGCCCATAAAAAGTAATCACATGCTGAAAGGTTGGGTGATAGAGCTTGCCATTGAATATTCCCACACAGAGAAATGAGGTGCCCGAAATTGTTAATGCATTTAAAGTTCATTCATTGAATAGATAAGTTGCACTGTCTTTTCAAACCATAGTGTTCAATGTTTAACCTATTCGATGTTGAAATTTTTATTTGTTGCCTGTGATGCCATGTTGAATTTTCATCAATGTTAAGCCTAAAAATTTTTTTTTAAAATAATAATCATGTTTACTGTATCATAAAAAATTATTTTTTTATGTTTCACAAACAAAATAAATATACTGAATAATATAGAAACAAAAAAAATTATATTTTAAAAGTTCATTTTAATATAAAAATTGCGACGCATAGTGACATCTAGTATCAAAAACGTTCCGACATAAACACGAAAATATTCAGGATCGCCCACGCAGGTCAATGAGGTCAACATGAATATTTTCCGGAACAACGTAGGACAGGTTAATTCCATGCTTTTGTAGTTTTGGCAATACATAATCTCACAACATAACATTGTGAAATCACTGTTACTGGTTGTCTCCTTCCTCAAAAGTAAGGGCCAATTATGCCAAACTTGGCTAACTCACATCACGCAGTTACACATTTGCTGTGCAGGAGACGTTAATGAAGTTGCCAAGGATTTGTTGACAACCAATAGCAGAAATTCTACTTATTAATTCATCCTGAGACATAAAAATGAGCTTCATCATGCATCATCATTATAATATTACAGTTGTCCCTCTATAGTCCGACGTTTTTTAATCTGACATGCTCAGTAGTCCGATGCACCTCCCGTCAAGGTACCCGTCCCCGTTACGTGTCTGCTTGCACAGAAGCATGTCGCGATGTGAATCTCCCCATCCAATTCTTACTTGATGACACACATTTCGTGTGTTTTATGTGAGCAGTTCTGTTCGAACAGTTGGAGTAGAGAATATTGTAAGTTACTGCTAGCAAAACAATGCAAAATATGTAATTATTTTCGGTAATCCGGACACTTTTGGTAATCTGACACACCTTTGGTCCCATACCTGTCGGATTATCAAGGGACAACTGTATTCCTTAAAATTTCCAGCATTGTCTCTGCAAAATTTCTTCAGTTTACAAAGTCATTTTGCTGTAGCTCCTGGACAACCATGATCTTACATGGGTGATAATTTAGATCTAAATGTAAAATTCTTTGAACTGATCTATCTGACATCTGTAGAGCATGAATGTGTCTTACCGCTGAATAATTATGCTGAACTATTCTTCATAGCTTGTCTCACCAGTTCAATGTTTCCATGAGTATGAACAATTTGTTCATCTCCACAAACTTTCCTTGGCAATGCTGAAATGGCTTGAGAAATGATTGGCATTATTCTAAGGTTTCAATCCACTTCAGAATAGTGTTCTGGCTTAGAACTTTGCTGTGATGTCCAACATTAAAATGAGTTTGAAACTTCCACTGAGTGAGAGTCACTAATTCGCCACTTTTAAAAAATGTTTCAACAATAAAAGCACAATGTACAGTGCTTCACAGCTTCATTGTTGCTGAGAAATGACATCGCATAACAAGTGATACACAATTGCTTTAATGGCAATTGGTGCCCCCAAGCAGATGTTATATCCATCATAAAAATGTCATACACCCCTGTCAAATCCTGTATTAAAACATTTTATTAAAACTAGGAAATAGTAAAACAAAGTATTTTAATTTAAAACAATATATAGAAAATTAATATTTATCACCATCTTTAAAAATAAGATAATGTTGATAAAAATTAACTAATCAGATATGATGATAGTGTATGAGATGTTAAAAGTTAACTTTTTCAAAACTTCAGATTTTTCTAGTAACATACAAAAGAAAATGTTGAGTATCATTATTTTTTCTAAGAACATGCTTCCACTCACATATTTCATATCAGTTAGCAAGATTACACCCCCTCACACACACAGTATCCATAAATGCACTTTCTGATTTTTAAAATTTATTACTTAGTAAGTCTACACGATACAGACATTAAACAAACACAAGCTGAAATAGCAACTCAAAAGATTTATTTACACACAGAAAAACACTGGTCAACTTCAACAGGAACATCACAAGTAGCTCAAATGACATCATATTGATATTGAAACTCTCACCATATTGCACAGCCTCAATTGGAAGAACATTCAGAATAGTGTTCCAGACAAGCAGATGAGGCTCCACCTTACTTTCACAACAATGATAGGTCATACTTTGATCAACATTTTCCCCAACATTGGATTGAGCATGGAGGTTTTTTGGCATGGTCTCCCAGAACCTTAGACATGATTTCCCTAGACTTCTTTCTAATGGGAATTTGTTAAAGATAGTGAAAGTTTGTAGCATGCTTATGACGGTTTTTAATTTTAATTTAAATAATATATGTTCCACTCATGTTAGAATATTGCATTCTATTTTTAAATTTTGTTTGCCAGACGATGAACATAAATAATTCTACCATGTTTTGAAACCTTGTTGTTCTTTTTATTTATTCTATAAGTGCAATGTAGTGCAATAACAATCACTTGGCACTATTTGCTTCTTTACTTCACTTTTCTTTATTTCACTTTTGCTTAACGAAAAGTGAAATAAAGAAGTGAATAGTGCCAAGTGATCGTTATTACACTACATTGCGCTTATAGAATAAATGAACATAAATAAGTTCATTGAAAGCACTAGCAATAATAATAAAAATAATAAATTGTTAACACCATTGTGAGAACTGAGGGGGTTAGTTGTCCCCACTTACCGGTGGCTCTATCAGAGGATGGCTTTATAGGAGGGCAAAATAAAATGAGTGGGGAGGTCAATGAGTAAGTTGACAGGTTCCCAAATGAATACACAGGTTGAACAAGAATAACACATTTAATAAACAACTATAAAATTGTACATATCAAAGGCTAAGGTGAAGATCTACAAAAATTCTATTCTACGTCGCGACAATGATTTGTCTTTCATATGAAACATCTAATCTCTATTCTCTAAGTTAAGAGACAAGAGAGATCTCTAGAAGAGAGATTTTGCAGAGAGAGAGTATACAAATAGATAACCAAAAAAAATACCTCTAAGTTCCCGATCCGTAATATGGGTCGTTGGTAAAAACGTTCCTGGATCGTCACGGCAGTTATGGTGGTATGGGTCAGTAGATGTCCGCCTTGTGGACTACGTTCAAGCCCTCTTTATACTATTTTTGAGGGGTGAGAACTATGACATCATTAATGAATTATAGGCACACCTGTTCATGTGTTGATGTCTGGATCTAGCTTGTACGGACAACCGACACAGAGAAGTTTGTTTAATTTATTGCT